TGGGTCCACCCCACTGAGATCCACACATCTCTGCCTGCACTGAGACTAAAGGGCAGTATAAGTGTGGGTATCTGAGGCTGTCACTAAAGCCTGTCACACACCGTTGGGGTCCAGCTTGGGTAGAAGCAGCTAGATTCTGAGGAGGAATTCAAAGGGAACCATGGAGGATGACTCTTGCTCATTCAGATCATTTATTGAGAATAAAAGTCGGGCCATCCCATCAGTGTGACACTGCGACAGGAGTCAAATACATGCTAAGGAGAGTCCAGAGAATTGAGACCTTCAACAGTACAGAGCCACAGGCACAAAAATCAAAATACAAATGCCCCCTCCCCCCAAGTTTGGCAGGAAAATAAATACAGTTGGAGGCCTGGGATGGAAGGGCACTTACTTTTCAATAAGGCAGTTACAAAGCGGACAAACCCCATTCCCCAATGGGCATCACAGGCAATAGAAAGCAGGCGAGGATGGCGCATGACAGTAAGCAGAGGGAGACTTTGTGTTCAGAGGTGCCAGCAGGCGAAAGTAACCCACCAGAGATGGTCTGCCTTAAGCCCGAGACCCACTTTGCCCACTTCAAATATCACAGTGACTTTTTTTTTTTCCCCAACCATAAACTTGGAAGCAGTCTGCAATCCAATGAAATAATGAAAAGGCACCCCCAAATGCATGGTGCTCCCCAGAGCATGAGCCTGAGCTTGAACCCTGTCATCTAACTGCCCTGCTTAGTTCAGTAGGGACCTGGAGCCAGGGCCATCACCCAGCCTCAGAAATAGGGTGGAAGGCAGGAGTTGGGCAGAGATCACAGGCAAAGCCCACTTTATGAGGACACAGTGCAGGCTAATATTACATCCCACAGGTGGTGGCACAACCTTTGGCTTCTCAACAAAAAATTTGTCATCAACAAAAAATTCATGCTCAAGAACTCCACAACTGAGTTTTAAAAATTGTAAAACAAATCCCATAATGCTTCAAACAATTTATGATTCCGAACTGGGCCACATTCATAGCTATCCTGGGTGGCAGGGGTCTGGGGGCTGTGGTGGACATGCCTGCTGGGGGTCTGCTCCTTGGCCAGTCATTTTACTAAGCTCAGCAGTCCCTATCCTTACCTCGTCCCACTTGGAATTCTGCAGCTTGTCCCTAGGGGCTCAGCTGGCCCTAGAGTGGCAGGGATAAGCTCTGAGGCATGTCAGGGCAGCTTACCTTAGATCACCTGCCACCCTGCAAACGACTAGGGGTGGGCCACAAAGGTCCCCCACTAACATATGAACTTGGCAAAACTCTTAGGACTTTATTTCCCCAATTCAAAAAGTGATGGGAGAGCACCCTTAAGTGACTTTGAGGAACCAGCTAGCATCTCAGAGACCTGGAGTGCCTTCAGCTTTGCTGGTGAAGCCCTCATGGGAACCAGAAGGCAGGAGTCCTCAGCAACCTGGGGACCCTAGGCTCCAGGCAAAGTCGTGTGCTGTTTAAAACTCTCCATCTGAAGTCTCCCCTCAGAGATGCTACAAGACTGTGTGGCCAACATAGGACTAAGGCCTTCGATGACTTGCATTCTTGTTAGCAGGCTGGTGCTCTGCTGGCAACTTTGGCATGAGCAAGTGAGTACACAGGGCTTCAACATTTCCCAACAAGGAACAAAGACCAATACTTAGGGGTAAGTCAAAACATCATGTTATATCCGGCTGTTCTCTTCTAGAAAAAGATACTGTGTGGAACAATGCCGGGACTGGGTCCTTTGCCCAATGAGCCACTCTGTCCACATGGCCACCAAATTTCAGAGAGCACAGAAAAGCCAGAAGCTAATAGACAGAACAGTCTTGCCCAGGAGGTAGTGAGCTCTCTGTCCTTGGAGATGGCTAAGTGCAGACAGCTTGCTGGCTGAGATGAGTAGGCAGATGTCAGCACCAATGGAGAAGCTGCATGGGAGGATTCAAGACTCTTCTAATCTTTTAGATCCCGTCATACAATAGAGAGCCTTCAGATGGTATTGATAAGGCAACTAACTTCTTTGGGACTATGCCTGGCACCACCCACTGCAATGGACAAGTTATCCTACCACCACACCCCAGGCAGTCACTTGATAAAATATTAACAGAAGTTCTTACATGTGTGTGTGTGTGTGTGTGTTTGTGCACGCGCGCGTGTACACACACACACACACACACACACACACAAAGGCAGCTACAACCTCTACCTGCACATTGAGATCTGCTCTTTGAGAGGCTACTATGATTATAGCTAGCAATGGTAGGGACATGCAGCACACAGAAGCCAAGTTCTTCAAGTCACAACCCCCACCTGAAATTTTGCTTTGCTGTCTTTCCTGAGGATTGGCTATGATTTTTTTTTTCACAGTTTGTCCCATGAAATGAGATACAAGTGTTGTAAAAAAATTAAAGCCCAATATGAATGGTAGGCTATGTATGTCTCTGTAAGACCACCTTTAGAGCACATCAAAGAACCACACCAGGCAAGACCAGAGACAGGATGGGACTGTGGGAAGCTATGCCAGTTCTGGACTTGAAATTCCAGTTTTGCTGAGGAGCACCAAGTAAAGACCACACTGAGCATAACAGATTAGGAGAGGGAGTGTGAGAGGCCTGGACAAGTGATGCGAAAATCCCAGGCACTCCAGAGAAGTGCTGCTCTCTCAACAAACCCCAAGCCAGGCCTCAAGCCTTCTTGAAGGCAATAGGCTCTTGCCATGGCTAAGCCAGCAGATGGGAGGCAAGGGGCTGGCTGCTATGTAAGTTCGAATAGCTTTGCCTTTTCTGTCAGGTAATACTTTGAAAGGTTGAGAAAGTGAGCCCTGGCCTGTACTTCTCCAAGGCTGGGTGCATCCGAGGACAAGGATTCTGGGAAACTGGCTGGAGGGCAGATGTTCTCCAGCTTGGATCTGGACATAGAAACATGGGAACAGATGGAGCCTAGCGCCACATCTTGCAGAGTGAGCCTCTTGACAGGAAACTAAATTTGATGCTGAAGAAACAGTGATACAACTTTTATGCCCACAGTTTTGGCTTAAATATCAGAAAGCTACATTTTCTTTCTTAATAAGACACTGGCATTTCCACAGGGCCAGCTAAATTAAAAGTCCTGTCTGCCCTCAGACACCAGCTTCTCCTGGGCCCTCCTGTTGCCTCCATCAGTGGAGGGAGACTGACTTCTGCATGGAGTTGAGGATGTAAAACATCCAGGGGGCACCTCACCAGCCCTTGCTTGCAACCAGGACACCTTTCATATTCTACATACACGTATTTACACACGCTGTCTGGGGCTGCAGTCTGCTTAGCATGCATTTTGAGAACTCTGGGAGCCTAGCCACAATGGAACACATTGTAGATTAGTGACACCGGGGGCCCTGTCCCCATTCCACAGAAGCATGGGGTTCTGTTCCACAGAAGGGAGACCATCTCACACTCCTTCACTCACTCACTGTGGGGTTAACTCTGATCTGAGATGGTGCTCAGGAGAAGCCATCTGGAGACAGCAAGACTGCTAGGCCAGGCCTCTGCTGTCCTCTTGTTAGTTAAGGCGTAAGAAAAACTCAGATTTGAAGTGAAATAGGAAAATGAGACATTTGACTAAATATATACTAGGATGGTTGGAAATTAGGAAATTAGCAATCTTTTTCTCTTGTCCTCCTATCCATACCTTTTGCCCCACTGACTGGAGACTCTGCAAACATCTTTGGATAGGAAAGCTCTGCTCTCCCAGGATGCTTTGGTTCTGACATAACTAGACAGCAGAGTCTTGAATAATGAGAAAAATTAATACTTGCATTCTCCCTGAAAGGAGGCCGGTTGTGACTTTTCCACTTGAGCATCAGGTGGCACTGACTTTTGTTCCCTCACCACCTTTTTTTTTTGTTTTGGCCTCACAGGGTCAAGGAGCGAAGTCCAACCATACTGTCTTCCCACAGCTGGGCTTCTAAAGAGAATCATGGGGACCCTGGCAGCTCTCCTGCAGGTTGCGAACTAAAGACTGGAAACATGAGCCTAAACACTCCTTCCATTTGTCAGAGCACTTACTGTCAGGAGCAAAATACCTTACTCTGGGCAAGTGCAGAGACTCATGGAAGGATACGCTTTTGCTTAAAACTTTTTAAAAATCATTTATCTATTGTATGTGTGTGTGTGTGTGTGTGTGTGTGTGTGTGTGTGTGTGTGTGTGTGGTGTTTGTGTGCACAGTGCTGTGTAGGTCAGAGGACAGTTTATAGGAATTGAACTCAATCAGGCTTGGCAGCAAGTGCCTTTTCCTGATAAGCCATCCCCAGGTTCATTGCCTTGTTTCTAAAACAGGGTCTTTAGCCTAGCTTACTCTTGAGCTATCTATCCTCTGCCTTGTCCTCCTGAGTGGTGGGACTAAAGCATGCACCACCATGACCAGCTTGTGATATCTTTGTGTCAATTTTAGAATTTCAACAGATAGTTTTGCACGTGCAACTGCTCAGAGGTCCTTGCTTACCTCAACTCCTTGGGGAGGGGCAAGGTTTCCTCCATGTCTAGTGGTTAAGCAGAGAGTAAAACAAATGACAGGTCTTGGGGTAGGAGAAGCGAAGCAGAAGCTGCATGACTGTGACAGCTCTTGGCCAACGCACGCTGAGTTCCCACGGTGTAAAGGTCACAGGGCAATTGGGGGACCAGTGTCAAACTGATTTGCTACTAAATGGCAAACCTTGCAATAAAGCTGCATGCTTGTGTCCCCAGTGGACAATGGACAGTCCAAACATGGGCCCACTCTGTGCTTCCACTGTCACAGAGCCATGCCACCAGGGCTGGGCTTCACCAGAGGCAGCCCTGTACAGTACAGTGACTGCTAAAATACGCATCACCCAGCATTTTCCAGGAGAATTGATTTTAAAGCTTTGCAGAGTATTCAAGACACGGTTTTTAAATTCCTTTTATGATACTGCTTTTTTCAGTCTGAGAGGTTGAAAGTCTTTCTATATACATGCTAACATGTAAGAATATAATCCTCCTGACAGAGAGACTTACAGTATCCATCATTCAAACTTTATTTACAGTAGATGTGAACAGTCCTTATGGGCTGAGATGTGCAGACACCACCTGTCATTAAGCATCGCACTGCTGTCCTCTCCCCAAGGCCTCCGCCTCACCAGGCCTCTGGTGCCTCACTCCAGCTGCTTGCTGCCCTCCGATTTCTGGTCCAGTCTGCTCCTGTTACTCTTCACCATGTAGATGAAGTAGGCAAGCGTCTCTTTCTCATTCACTGGTATGTTCCTGAAGTGTCGGCTCACAGTCTACACAGGAGGAAAGACCAAAGTCCCTTAAGCTATGCGCACATCCAGCCCTACATACTACACTCTGCAAAGAGGGAACAGGACTGCTTCCAGACAACTTCCTGGCACTTAGACTTGCCAAGGAGCTACATGATGAAATGGTCTCCTTGCTCTAGGGTTTAGCTGCTTTTCCCCTGGGGTTACCAAAAGTGTACCATTTCGGCCTAGGACTAAGGTACAAGTATATTCTTCAACAACAGCTAATCATCCCTGACATGACTTCAGCTATCCTGTAGTATAATAGGAGGTTGGGACTTCCCTGTTTGGCCAATTGCCAACAAGCCTTTCAGGCTCTGGAAATGGACACCTCCCCTCCCCACCAAAAAAAGGTTTTTAAAAGTTGTGTCAGGCTTGGGGCAGTGATGGTGCACATTTTTAATCCCAGCACTTGGGAGGCAGAAGCAGGTGGATCTCTGTGAGTTCGAGGCCAGCCTGGTCTACAGAGAAAGTTCCAGGACAGCCAAGGCTGTTGTACAGAGAAACCCTATCTCAACAAACAAACAAACAAACAAACAAAACAAACAAACAACCCAACCAGAAAGACAACAACAACAAAGAAACCCCAACAATTCTGTCAAGCTGGGTATGGTGCTTAATGCCTGTAATTCCAGCTTTCAGGAGGGTGAGACAGACAGATCAGGAGTTCAAGATTACCAGCCTCAGCTGCTTTGAAAACACACACACACCCCAAAACCAACTCAAAAATATCAAATGAACAGTCAAAACAGATGTGTCTGGCCCCAAGAATTCCTCTAAGTTGGGACACCTGCCCCTGGGAAAGTGTGCCAGCCTGAAGGAGAGTGCTCACTGGCCATGTCCTGATTCTGCTTTTGTTGACTTAGCCCTGGAGAAACACACTTCCTCCTCTTGCCCCACTCTTCCTTCTAGGGGGCAGTGGGTAGGCAGCAAGGCTGTGTGCTGCTGTTATACCTCTATGCTGGTGAGGGAAAGGCTGAAGAGTGAAGATACATCAGACAGACCCAAAACCAAGCCGGAGCTTTTCAGTAGACCCCTGCATGGATGGAGGTGGTCAGGGCAGATGAAGAAAGACCTGGAAATAATAAAGTCTGGGGATTGTGTTTATCTTTTCTCCGCCTCTCAAATTTTCTACAACAAAAGGTGGAGAATTAAGAGGGACAAGGAAGCCAAGTACTGTGACATGTGCCTGAAAGGGAAGCTGAGGCAGGAGGACACCTGAGCCC